AAAACGAACCGTGGTTGGTGGGTCCTTTGGATGCGTTTACTCACTCCACCGGACCTCCCCGGCCCACATGCAACCTCCAGCAACGGCAAGAAGAGCGGCTCCAGCGATGCACAATCGCAAGCTACAGCTGGAACCTCCTCGAGGCATCTCGAAAGCCACATGTCAAGAGAAGAGCATTGCGAACCCACTGCTAATGTAGCGTTTCTTGTGAGAAAAGCAAGTGATTCCAACCAGTCAGGCAGAGGACACATCCGAAGCCAAAGCGGGCCAGGATTCTTTCGAAGTATTGGCGGTCGGTTTGGAAGAGAATTGGAAGGGTGGTCCGGGACGCCCGGAGGACTTGTCGAAGGAGTTGGGCTTGATGCAAAGAAGTACATCGATGCATTAATCAACCTGAATAGGTAGATGTCGGCCGTTGTTAGTCGTACACTGGCAAGCGTCAAACTTTTCAGCTTAGTTGAGACTAGTCAAGGAAATTAATGAACCCAACAAATATATGGGTGTTTAACATATAAATCGTTTCCTTCAAGAGCGGATCTTCCGAGTGAGTCCTTCTTGTCGAGGTCGTTGTCATATATACTGTATTACGTCTCAGGCTGCATTACCAAGGCAAAGTTCCCGAGAGATAACTTAAAGAAGGCTGCAACTACTTGTTGTGCCTTGTATATCTGCGACCTCAACTCCACATCTGTCAGCCATCCTTCCCCCGCTGCTGATAAATAGTAAATTGCTCCCGGGCCCCCAGGGTCAAAAGATTCTTTGAAATTCTATCCTACAAGTACGGAAAATACAATAGTATCTGTGGGTTATATCAGAGCGATTTAAACCAGCAAACATGGTTTCAGCAGAGTATCCAAGAATGGACTTCAAAGTAAGCAGATATTCGGCGGGATATCAATTAATTATCTAGTTTCCTCCTGCTAATAGAATATGATAGGAATTTTACAACACGATCGATGGCAAGCGTACTACTACTACAGTAACTCGTCACGGCATTAATCCAGCCAACAAGAAACCCCTTACCGAAGTTCCTGTGTGTACCCAAGCCGACCTTGACATCGCAGTTTCGGCCGCAAGGACTGCGTTCAACAAATGGTCGAAAACTACTTTCGAAGAGCGTAGGGCGGCTCTTCATTGCTATGCAGATGGTCTCGATCACTACAAGGACGAGTTCGCCAACCTCCTAGTCACAGAGCAAGGCAAGCCGTTAGCCCAGGCTCAGACCGAGGCATGGGCTGCGGTGGCTTTCCTTAGGGGCATTTCCTCACTAAGTATGAATGAAGAGGTCCTTGAAGACACAGACAAGCATAAGATCATTAGCCGATATACCCCATTAGGTGTTGCTTGTGGTATTGTTCCATGGAACTACCCCCTTCTCCTCGCCTGTGGGAAGATAGCAGCCGCCATCTATACCGGGAACGCAATTATTCTGAAGCCGTCGCCTTTTACTCCCTATTGTGGCCTAAAATTAGGCGAGCTCGGCATGCAGTACTTTCCTCCTGGCGTTCTGCAAGTTCTTAGTGGTGGAGATGATCTAGGTCCGATGATGACCGCCCACTCGGGGATTGACAAGATAAGCTTCACCGGCTCAATTGCGACGGGAAAGAAAGTTATGGAAAGCTGTGCAAAGTCGCTGAAAAGAGTGACGCTTGAACTAGGTGGAAACGATGCGGCTGTTGTGTGCGAAGATGTAGATCTCGAGGAAGTTATTCCAAAGGTAGGAGGGAATCGACTCCTCTTTCAAGAGTTTGAATTTTATTATTATTGCAATTCGCATTCTGACGAGTCTCGTAGATTGCCGCGGCTTGCTTCTACTGCTCCAGCCAAATCTGCATGATGATAAAACGGCTATATGTTCACGAGAAGATATATGATCAGTTCCGTGATGCCTTGGTCAAATATACTTCAGCCCTAAAAGTGGGCGAAGGCCACGATCCAGATTCGTTCATCGGTCCCATCCAAAACAATATGCAGTATGAGAAGGTCAAATCACTTATCGAGGCTATCAAAGCGGAAGGCGTTAGGCCTATTCTTGGAGGAGAAGTCGAGGAGTCAGAAGGCTACTACATCAAGCCTACTATCATCGACAACCCGCCAGATACTTCCCTCGCAGTGACTGAGGAACCCTTTGGCCCAGTCCTTCCTCTCCTCAAATGGTCTGATGAAGATGAGGTTATTGCTCGTGCAAATGACTCTAACATGGGCCTTGGGGCATCTGTATGGAGTAAAGACCTTGTCCGCGCTGAGAGAATCCTCAGGCGGTTTGATTCTGGCGTTGCCTGGATTAACTGCCATTTCGATGCTTTGCCTCATATCCCGTTTGGAGGACATAAATACAGCGGTATCGGAACCGAATTTGGCGTGGAAGGACTTAAGCAGTACTGTAACCACCAAGCTCTTTGGCTGAGCAAGAAATAATGGTTTTTCTCTCCAGACCTGAAAGCGTAGTCCGGAATGTGTCTTATAATGCATCAATTTCCTCGGTTCATAGTGTTTTGGTTAGGGTATCCATCTTCACAAGCAACAAGAATGATAATGGCTTCCTTCAAGGATATAATAGCATCTCATATCCAGATATCAACATATTCATTATATTCATTGAACCGGGTTCGGTTGGGAAGAGGTAGACATAATGTCCCGACAAGTCGACCCCTGTGTCTTGGAATTTAACCATCTTCTAGGTATATCTGCACCTCAACATCTGAGCAAGGCTGCCACATGCTTTTAATATCGATCATTCACGGTTAGACTTTGTCCTGTTCCTTGGTTACACCCGCCGCAATAAACGGGAGTTTCCCGTCTAGTCTTGATAATCGAACAAACATGATATTTCTCTCACCGGAGACCAGAGAAACGAGGTTCAGGAGATGCATTTCCACTGGATATCCGTGTGTTATGCAATGGGATGTTCAAATCTAGAGCCTCAGAGTTGCCAGGTTGGAATGAGCTGAAGAGAGCAATCTCCACCAGCTCGGCATTAGTTAGTTATACGAGGCCCGCTAACCACTCAGAGTGTGAGCAGCCGCAAAATATACCATATCAGGAGGATATGACTCCACCATCTTCCCTGTCCATGGGATGGAGTATGGACGGCATGAGTGAATTCCCGGGTTGAGCAAGTCGCTGCACGGCATGGTCGTGGCCCCTTTAACAGGGCCCTCTCCCGCCAATTTGCTGTCTATACGAGAATTTTTATATCACCTCATCTGACGCGGTACACCTTTGAAGGAAGTATTCACTACTGAAAGGGCTCCGAATTTCTTATCTAGAATCGAGTGCCCATCTGAACGCTCAGTTGTTTGGATATATCAAATAAGAGGCTTAAGATGGAGTGAAAGTTGCGGCACGCTCGGCCCACCCCGTCGTCGCAGACGAAATGCCCTCCCGAACGAAACAGCGGCCATCAATCTGGTTGGCCTTCATTATTTTCGCCTTCCTACCAAGTCTCACACATGGCTGGACTTGGTGGTGGACTGATGACCGTGGCGACACCCATATAGACAATGGAACCAATGACCGAAAATGCACTAAAATGACCCTCCCGAAGGGGAAACAGTATCGATGGGACTCGGAGGGTAGCATGCATTGCATCTCTCTGTTCTCAGATGATCACTGCGGAGATCGTAACGGATGGTCCTGTCCTCCATGGGGGCCTCGATACCAGGGACAAAATGTATCTTTATCATATCTCGTCAACATGAACGGCGAGGAGATATCGTCAACACCTTCATCAACTGAACCAACCCCCACCGAATCCTCTGCTAGTACCAGCAATACGTCTTCCCATGAGAGTACCTCACCCATGACATCCATTCCAACCTCACCATCAACCTCAACAAACATGCCAATACCACCAGCCGATTCAGGAAAGCTATCAAGTGGAGCCATCGCGGGGATCGTGGTTGGAGTAATAGGCCTCATTGCATTTGTAGCCTTACTGTGCTTCATATCTTATAGACTTGGACAACGAAATTCCATTGTCAAGGTATCGGTAGAGGAGCCCAAAGGCCAGTCTGGGGGATCAGGTTCACCTTCTGCTCATGAAATGCATTCTCCGACTCATCCATCGATGGCAGAATCTCAAACTATGTCAACAGCATCATCACCCCTATCACCAAGATCGGAATTGGCGGACAGTGGCATGTTCACCAAACGGCAGATGCTGTCCATGCATCAACGACCTAGGGCAACTGAGTTGCCAGACAACGGACGGCAAGAGATTGCAGCATAGTCTCGTGCATGAGAAAGCTGTGGACTATGCGACTGCTAGAAGCACGAATTGACTGCTTTTGACCACTTTTGACCACTTTTGACCACTTTTGACGAGGGAATTGCGGGAGACCATGTAGATTGATGTTCAAATGACTCGAGCTGGAGTTATCTCACCTCAAACAATCATGTAGAACTAATAGATCAATTAACAAATGTAAATATGTTATTATTCTTGGGAACTTATTCTCACATTACCGTGCCTAATGTTTAGCTTGCTTTCTCCATGCCCATCGTCTTCCTGTCAACGGTTGTAGTGAGTTGATAACCGCATCATGTACTAAAGCTCGCTCTGCCCGACCTCCCCATGATATGGAATGATCTGTTCGACTGAACTCGAGACTAAATAGCCTTTGGTCCCTCCTTCAACTTGGGGATATTTGAAGATGAGTGCTGCCCTGGCATACCTGATCTCCAACCAGGCCCTCCTGTCCATCAACAGCTCTCCAACACCCAAGCAACCGGCCGATCTTAGCGACAATACTATTTGCCCTCGAGCACCATCAGCAGAAGGAACTGACCAGAATTCCACACCAGCGGCAGTGACAAGGATGAACAGGATTGCTATGTTATGCAATCCTTCGAAGCGCATGGGTCGTTGGCATTAGAAGCCAAAAATAGCCTTTCCAGGTGCTTTAAGCTTAACTTACTACTTCTTTGCATCTGACATGCCTGTAGCTTTAATCACATACTCTAGTATGGCAGAGGAACGGGCTCTAAAGAGGGGCCAAAGGTAGCAGCATACAAGCCAACGGGTGTTTGATTATATGATCGACTAGAGTATTACGCCATGATGATAAACGAATGTGAAATGCCTGGATACGA